CCCTGTAAACAATTTGCAACATGAACAGTTGCCCCTGAGTCAATCCACCAAGTAGATTTTGAAAACTTTGTGTACAAGGATTCATTAACTAAGGAAACAATGTTGTTACCTTGCTTTGCCATTAAGGACTTCAGCCAAATAGGGCAGTCTTTCTTGTAATGCCCGGTCTGCTTACAGTGGAGACAAGTGTCTTTGTCCACTGGGAAAGACTGTTGCTGACGCTAATGCTGATAGGGAGCTTTTCCTTGTGGCTTTGAAGGAGAACTTTTGTTGTTTTGATTGTAGTTCTTTTTCTTGTGATCCTTCACATAGTTGAGTGTACCACCATGTGAGGCTTTTAGTCTGTCCTCTTCTTGGACACACATTGCAATTGTCTTTTCAATGTCCCATGTTCCAGGTGACATATTGTAGTTCACAACAAAAGTTTCAAACTCCTTTGGCAGTGAAGTCATGACCAGGTGGACCAGGAGCTTTGGTTTGATCTCCAGATACTCATCCATGGGCTTTAGCTTTGCTGCCATATTGCTCACCCTGAGGATGTGCTCTCTTATTCCACCACCTTTGTATTGTTCTGTCACCAGTTGTTTTAACACCTGGGTGGCATATATCTTTGAAGAGCCAGTGAAGTGGCTCTTTATTTTTGTGAGCACCTCCCCTGCGGAAGTGCACTCTGCAATGGAGTCCACAATGGTGCTCTCAATTGTATTCTTTATGAAGGCCATCCACTTTTTGTTTGCATTGACCCACTTTTGGTTGTCTATGATGTAGGACATCTCCAAAGGAGCATAATCCCCCCTCTTTTTAGCCCATGCAGCATCATCATCAGTGGTCTCTCTTACTAGCTCTGTAGGTCTGACCGGCTGTGGTTCATCCAGAACCCAGTCCAGATCAGCACAGACAAATGCTAGTTCAACTTTCTTCCTCCACTTAGTGTGATTGTCACCTCTGACTGTCGGAACTTTTTTTAGGCAACTCATCAAGTGAAAGCCTCCTGAAATCACAATTTAAGTGACATCAATATAACAATCACATGCATTAATCTAACGTTGGTCAAATTAAACATATAATTTTCTATGCAATTAAATCTATATTACCGTTGGGCAAAAATTAGGAAAAAAATGCACCTTTAAATTTCAATAACAAAACATGATCATGTTATTAATAACGTTGGTCATAAACATAACATAATCATATTCATTCTAATAATCACTTTAACATGCTCTTAAAACATAATACTATATAAACTTTTATTTTCTGTGTAAAAGAGCATTAATTATTTACGCAGCGGGAAAACATGAATAAAAATTCATGAACCTGTTATTATTTACAGAAACTTTTCTTTGACCGAATAAAAAATCATGAACTTTCTTATTCTCTTTATAAAAATTCATGAACATTTCTTTTCGGAAAATTTTCTATTTTCATATTCGAAAACTTTTCTATTTCTAAACAAAATTTTCGTTGGAAAAATTTGCATAGAAACTATATATAAGATCTGCCCAAAAGCTGGACAAAGTTCATCAAAACTCTGTTGTGAAAAAAAAATAGCAGAGAAACCCTACAGCCTACTACTGCGCGACGTGCGCCTGTGGCCCGAGCGACGCGGCCAACGGCCTGCGCGCTGCGGCAGCCGGCCTCAGCCCAGCGTGTGGGATGCGCCCGCTGCGGCGGCCTTGGCTCCTTTTAAGCCCAGTGGCCCAGTGGCTGGCTAGGGTTTGCGGCCTGGCCGTCGGATTTCATCCGACGGTCCGGCGCCTAGATCGGCCGAACAAAACGCCCAATCCAGCTCCCCTCGATCGAACCCTAGCCATTCTTTCCTCCCACGTGTCGCTCATCCTTTTGCTCGCAGCGGCGACGACCCCTGTCCAGGTCGTCGGGCCACCATGCCCGGTCGCCGGAGACGGCCACCGCGCCGCGGTACCAGGCCGGCAGCCGGCCACCGGAGACGGGGCTGATAGCCACCGCTCTCGCGAGCTTTTCTCCCTCCCCCTTTTTTCTCTTTGCTGATCATGTGGCAGAGAGAGAGAGAGAAGCCCGTCCTCCGATCTGTCTCCTCGCCCGAGGCCCGAGGCCACCGGCGAGCTAGGTCTGGCCGCCGCCGACGGCGACCTGAAGCCACCGCGCCGCGCGCGCGACCCTCTGTTTCATCTCCCCCTTTCTTTTCCTCTCTTCTTCTCTGCCACTGCTTACAACAACAGAGAGAGAGAGACAGAGAGATCCGACGGGCTTCCTATGCGGGGTGACCATCCCCCTCGCCGGCTGCGCGTCCACCTTGCGGTGAGCGCGCCGCCGTCGAGCGGTTTGTTCGTGATGCCCTTTGCCCCGTTGGCAGGTTGTGTTCTTCTTCCCCGCACCTCGGCTTGCCGATGCGTGTGGGGATCGAGAGGAACGACGCGGCCAAAGTGGCGGCGCACTTTGCCGGCGAGACCCGAGGCCCTCTGCCGGTGAACTTTCCTTTGCCCTCTGATTAGGGTTCTTGTGGAGGGGATCTCTTTTTCTTTTCCTTTTTTTTCTCTTCTTCTTTGTATCGAAATCAACTAGCCCGATCTGGCTCTGAAACCATTGATAGGCCTTAGATCGGAGTAGGCTAGTAGATCCGGTGAACCTACCTTCTTTAGGTGCAGATGAGCTCGATCCAGCGCCGGCCATGGTGGTGTGATGACGGCGGCGATGTGGACAGAGATGACGGTGGTGGTGTGCTTCCCGTGAGCGCCGCGCTAACCCTAGATCGGAAGGGAGTGTCGGTAGGGATTGTGGCAGCGATTAACCTCGTAAATCGTGTCTCGTCCCCCATCTCTGTTTATATAGCGCGGGTCACAGGGGCCCACCAACCATGGTTTGGTTGGGCGCCCCCAATCAGGGCACGAGTCAAGGGCCCATTCGATCCGTTAGGTTCGAACGGGATAGAGATCAACCTAACACTTGTATGGCCGAAAACAAGTGGAAGTAGTGGCATGGTGGCCGTTGAGACGTCGCAACAAAACAAAAGCCTTGAAAGGACGAGTAACTCTTGCCCTGCACAATTTTTTCTTCTTGTTTTACATCTTATACAAAGAAACAAACAGCCATGAGCATCTCTATGTACAGGTTCAGAGCTGTAATTAACAATTGCTGTATCATCCATGCATCAATCCACTCACCACAGTAAACTGTAAACAAATAACTAACTGCTACAAACAAATTAACCAATCTCGCAAGCAAAACGCCTTTCTTAATTGCTGATCTCAAATCTGCTGTATCATCTGCATTCACGGTAAAACGCCATTTCGATGGTAATAATTGGGCTGTGTCCATCTCCGGATGGATGCAGAGACCACGCAGAATGTCTCCATTTAACTACTAAGAATTTGACGGTACTGTGAACGATCGATGGCATGCGCATCAGTTGGCTGGGCAGCCCATCTCGTCGCGGACCCTGAGGAAGACGATGGCGGCGCCGTAGTGCGCGAGCGCGCCGGCGATGACAAGCAGGTGAAATATCTGATGGCTCTGCCCGCACAGGTCGAACATCCCGGGCCTCCACCGCTCGGGCACGCGGGTGAGGTAGAAGGCGGTGCCGACGAGGTACGAGGCGGCCATGGCGCCCTCGTACGCCAGCGTGACGTTCCGGCGCGGCTCGTGCCAGTTGACCGCGGCGGCGTGCACGGCCGGCACGACGCCCGACAGGCCCATCCCGACGAAGAGCAGCGCGCGGTGGGCGCGGTACTTGGCGTCGCTGAGGCGGGGCGACATGAGCGCGTAGACGGTGGCGGCGCCGGCGAGCGAGATGGCGGAGAGGTAGGCGACCTGCCAGCGCGGCTCGCACTGGAAGATGTAGTAGATGGGCGGGAAGAAGGAGACGACGATCATGACGGCGATGCCGGTGTAGTCGAGGCGGATGAGGAAGAGGTTGAGGCGGTGCGAGTGGCACGACAGCAGGTGGCACGCGCAGCTGCTCATCAGGCAGAACATGGCGCCCGCCAGGAACACGAAGAAGGGCCACCGCGTCGTCGGCCCCACCCCCGCCGCCGCCGCCATCGCCAGCCCCGGGCTCGCCTGCATGAACGACGCCGCGCCCTGAAACGAAATGAAAATCCACCGTCAACACATGTCAGTCAAATCTCAGTTACCACCATCACCAATTCACCATGCATGATTAGAGGATGAAACGGAGGCATCAAATGATTGCCGGAGGAAACAAAGGTGACGCTACAGTTTCAACCACCGCTGTGATCATGGCCATGCATGCCATGCATATGTGACCATGCAGGTGGTTAATGGAGGTTTTTCACCATGGATTGCATGCACATGCGTGTGCAACTATGCGTGCCCGGCCAGTTGAGTGTACCAGCCGGCAGTGCAAGCAGAGGCAGAACCAGCCGTGAGACTTGTGAGCGGGTGGCATGTGAAAAACGGACGGTGCATCACCTCAAAACAGAAAGGTGAAGTGTCACACGGGATAAACTCCCGGATCACGCAGGCGGCGCCGGGGATACGTAGGACGATTAACCTGATCACATCACTCAACAGAAAGCACGTCTGATTGCTTCTGTGGCTGCTTAATTATCCGATTACGTGTGTGCATCGCTTGATGCAGAGGCTGAAGAATGACGATAAAATGAAGTTTGTCGTGGTTGAAAGGAACATGTGTATATTTTTTGTCATAGCACTGTAAAAGTTGCGGGTTAGGTAGGTAGCATGGTTGGCCAAGTAAAGGCAACCTGAACCTCATGCCCCACTCAGCATCGAAATTAAGTCTGAATCATCTACCCGTAGATACCAGACAGCCAAGGCAACAGTGGCTACTAGTACTACTCCTAGCTACTGAGAAGGTGATCAATTGAATTGAATCTCCAAGACATGTGGATGTGCCTGCCTGCCAGACAGCAGGAATTCACGTCTGACAGATCATTTCATCCTCGCCTCATATTAGTTGAGGACACTTATGGGTGTAGGACATACACAGTGCCAACTTTTCACTGCAAAATCTCATAAAAAAATAACCTACATGCCAGTTTTTACTACTGCACGGGCTCTATTATAACTATTTCGTTGCTATTGATTATTATCACAGGAAAGTGAAAAGGTATTTCAGGAAAGAAAAATGGCATGAAGGTGCTGGTAGTACTACTCACGGAGAGGACGTCGCCTATGTTGCTGGAGACATTCTCTGCGACCTTGGAGATGGGCCTGCAGTGAATAGAATTACACAAATTAGCTACTCAATTTCAGTGAAGAAGATAGTATAGTATGAACTCTGAAGGATATTTCTGAACTCTGAAGGTGAATAATAAATGGAATTACCAGGAGAGGTGGCCGATGAGGTGGGCGACCTGGGGGAAGTACTGGGCGAGGTGCCAGAGGGTGAGGCCCAAGAACAGGAAGAACCCCAGCAGGTGCGTCCAGATGTTGATGGTCTCGTTGTGCCAGGAGAAGACGCTGAGGAAGGCGTGCAGCAGCGGCCACTCGGAGCGGTAGTGGTTGAGGATGAACTCGTTCTCCTTCATGTACTCCGGCAGCTCCTCGTAGCTCACCAGCCGGTACTCCTGCTGCTGCTGCTGCCGCCGCCTCTTCTTCCCTCCCCCTCCCCCCTCCCTCCTCTGCTGCTTGCCCCTCCTCTTCGCCGACTTCGCCATGGCCGCCGGCGCCTCCTCCTCCTGCAGCTGCCCGGCGCCCATGCTGCTCTCCTGGTCCATGGCCGCCGGCCCCTTTCTTCTCTCTCTCACTAGAGCTCTCACGGGGAGAGAGGGGGGTGGAGGGAGCAGAGAGGCTGCGTGTGTGTGATAAAGGGGCGAGGCTGTTGCCGGGGTTAAAAAGGACGCTCGCTCGCTCACACGCGCCGCAGGCAGCTCCGCTTGTCCTGAACAAGCCGGGCAAGAAATCTACTACAGGATACGGCCGGGGGTGGAGTCCAGGATACGGCGTATGTATGCGACTTCAGTTGTTTTCATGCTCATTTTATACGATATTGGTTGATTGAAATGGGGACGCATATGTTGCTCCGGGTATGTGGTGCAGGCGCACATTTCTCGGGTTGGTACACCTTCATTGCTACAAAGCTCCGGGAAGAAAATAGACAATTGGAAAGACTCTGCCTTGATGCGCAGTGAAGTTGATGAGGACAAATGCAGGTGGAGCAGGACGGGGGGAGGGGCAACCACATCGCTACCGTTGGGTGGGAAAAAGGGAGGACGAAAACGAATGAAAAATGCCGGCATTCAATACTGGCTACCTAGTGTTTTATCAAGAGAAAAAGAAACCTGCGTGTAATGGTGGCCGTGGGAAACTAGCCACCTGCATGTGGGCCACCAGTGGCAGCAGACTCAGGAATGAAGTGGATGGTGTGCACGCTCAAAATAGATTTTTATGTCCAACTGTCATGCAATATTTCGCACAAGTATGACATAAATGGGTCAATCAAGCCTCGCTACAAGCGACGGCGGTGGAGGAGGCCGGGGGTAACTTTTCGATGACGTGCACTCGTTGAGCAGTTGAGCAGCGTTGACGAGGGGAGCAATGGTG